AAATATAACATTGGTTGTACTACTGAAGTACTTTTGTAATGAACAGAATGTTCTTAATCTCCGAAGCGAAAATGGATGAAAATGTACTATGGTTTCTAAGCTGACACTTACAGTGAGTAAATCACAGGCGATATTGTGTTTGAACTAGCGGAGTAGTTATTTTCCTTATAAGTATGCGTTACATCTTATAATATTTTGTCAATGATTGATTATCTGGCTATGTTTCATGGGTATCAAGCATTCTTTTGATCTATTGAAATTGTCAGCAGTTTATAGAATTACTTAAAATAATCTCAGTGTATCAAGGTGTACCATGAATGTAAATTTCAAATTTGGTGGCACACTATACAGAAAAGTGGACGAGTGGCTGTGGGCTCCTCATTAAGTCCATTTTTGCAGATTTCTTTCTAAGTAAACTAGAAAATGGACCTATGAACAACCTTATCAGAAAATTCTAATTTTATTGTCAGTATATGGATGACACCTTCATTCTTTGTGATATTTATTCGAATAGGAACACAATAATAACTGAATTCAATGAAGTACATTCTGCTATGAAATTCACTTGCGAATAGGAATCCCAAAACAGAAGTGCCTTCCTGGATGTCCTCCTTACAAGGAAACCAGATGGTAGCACAAAAAGAAATTTGCATAGGAAAAGTACATAGGCAGGACCATATACACCTTTCTACAGCTTCGTTCCTCTCCAGTATAAAAGAAATTTAGTAAAAACCCTCAGCCCCAGGGTTAAAGCTATATGCTCAGAGGAAGTAATTGAAGAATTATTAAGCATTGTGTATGATATCTTGATTGAAAATATCTATTCCGACAAATTTATCAAGAAACACATGACAAAGAAAGCCTTTATACATATGACTACAATTTAAGGGCGATATACCTAGCGAAATGATTACGAAGAAGTTGAAAAAATCAGTTCAAAGAACTTTTAATGGTGGCAAACTACAATTCTTATTCTCTACACGACCGATGGTGATTCCTCGATTGAAAGATGAAGTACCTAGACTAGCCACTTCTAATTGTATTTACCAATTCAACTGCGCCTGTGGAGTGAGTTATATCAGGCCTTTGCTCTAGGAACTTGATTTTTCGTGCTCGAGAACATCTCCCAGTATGTCTAAGCAAAGGCGTAGTAGACACCATAAACAGTTCGATATTAGACCACCTGGTCAAAACCGGCCACCAAACCAGCATTGAAGAATCCTTCTCTATCATCTACCAGGTAGCAAATAAATTTCCAAGTACATCGAGGTACCGCATGCTCCAAACAGCAGAGGCTATCGCGATTCGTGTGAAACATCCAGTGCTTTGTGTGCAATAGAAGCAAGTCCAGCCACTACTACTATCCTGGCCTTCAGTAGAGACTAGAAATGATGAATTTGTAATATTATCTTTCTTAATTTCTCTGACATTCAGTTTATCGTTCTGTTGATGCCATTGTACTGTAATCTATTGATTCGATGTTATTTAAACATTATTGTTGTTTATAACTCTTATTCATTCACTATTACGTATATATAACTGTAGAACCTGATGATGAAGTTATCGGAAAGAGTATTCGTTGCTCAGTAACCATTCTTTTAAAAATTGTAATGGGTATTTTTAATCACTTCAAAAAAGCGAGATTTTTCTCAAAGTTTCATTGTGTAACCTTTAACTTCTTCAGCAGAATTACTCAGATTTTATTCAACATCGAAATATTTAGGCGAACGTTACGTGCATTAAGTTTGACTTGTCTGTAGGACACTTGTCGATAAATATTTGCACCAATTGAATCAGTGAGATTAGTCATGAAATATCTGTAATGGTAATGTCAACTTGTCATCAAAGTAGGTGTAGAATTTGTGCACAGTGGTAGGGTATGTTTCCTCGTTAGATAAGCTTATATTATTATCACTATTATTGTTGTTTTTATTTGTCACGCTTTGAATTTTAAAAAAAGCTTTTCTTATCTCTATTGTCTGACTACAGTTCACTTTATTTTACCATCATATCTCTTTGAACATATAGCAGGCGATGATCACGCAGCATCTGGTGCATCCTTCAACGGTCTACAAAGTCCTACAAAGTTTTCTGACAGGGACACGAATGCACTTGCTTTGTGTAGTGGAAGCTTTGGCAATACATAACGTAAAGTCGAAACTTTACGTACGAAAAATAATTTGTGTGGTCTCTTTCGTCACCTCATAGTCTTGATTTTATCATGTGATTCACATAGACTTCCTTGTCCTTCTCTGATTCCATGTTCTAGTTCGGTTTTGTTTAATGTCACTTCACCTTATGACATTATTCTAACATTTTATTTATCTTATTTTATTGGTGACACTTCACTCATCTGATTTTCGCATTTTATTTTATTTGAGTATAACAAAGTCACATGTTCACATTTCCGAATGTATTTAATCATTGTGTTGGCCTATTTTGTTCATTCATATGTCGAATCAACGTTTGATTCATAATAATCCACACCAATATTCTCACACTTGGTATTTCCACTCATTGTCATATTTAATGAATATAAGTATAAAACATAGGTGCTGTTTTAGAGTATATTTTAATAAATCACACATTATTTCTAACTTTAAGGTTTGTTTTTGTACACCTTAGTGGTGTTTCTCAGTTTGCTAAACTGTAAATTAAGCCAGTCTTTACAGACAACGGATGAAGTGAATTAAATTCTAATCACTGTGATAATGCGTTGGCTTTTTATAAACGCTAGTGTGAAGTTTACCTGCTTCTGTTCGTTTTATTTTACAATCTAACATAGCTAATTCTCCTCGTTCATTTTCCGATTTCAGTGTGAACTTTATTCCCTTTACTAGTGCGTTGATATTCATGCAGAAGCTAGAGATTTGTGCTGCTTTTAACACTGTGAGTGAAAGTGTCATCCACATATCTCCACCATATCTTTGGAGTAGGAATAAACTTATTAAGAGTAATATTTTCTCAGCTGTCCATAAAGATATCTGATAAGATAGAGGATATTGTTGATCCCGTTGCTATACCATCTGTTTGTTTATATATATTTGCCCTGGAATTTAAAGACAGTAGATGTTAGGCATAACAGAATTCCTAAAATAATTTTCTGAATGAGCAGCTCTGTTCTATCACTAAGTTGGGGATCAGAAGTTAGTACCCTTTTAACCGCTTCTAAGGCCATATTGATTGGTATATTAGTGTAAAGACTAGTCATCTCAAAACTACCCCTTTTTCATTATTCTCTAATTGAATGTTATTTAGTTTCCTTTTCATTTCATGTAAATTAGTTAACTAAGAATTTGAATGATTTCTAATGGAACATAGTATTAGAGCTAAGTGTTTTGATAATTCATTTGTCGGCGTATTTGTGAAATCTACTATTGGTCGTGTGGGGTAACCTGGTTTATGTATTTTTATAGTACCGTATATTTCACTAGCGTTATTAGTTTTAGGCATTAAATTAAACCCTTTAGACTCACTCAGTGACAGCTTCATACTACGTATTAAATCCGCTGTAGATTTCTTAATCTTATTCATTAGTGTATCTACAGGCTTCTTAAATTCCTCATATGGACCGATTTCAATGTGTTCACTGACATTCTTTAGATAGTCAGATTTATTAAAAACTGCTGTAGAGTTTCCTCGTCAGCTTTTGTGATGACGATGCTTTTATCATTTTTAAGATTAATTAGATCTTATCTTTCCGATTTTGTTAAGTGTGACTGTGCTTTTTTGTTTTTAACAGTTAATGCACATTGAGTTCGAACCCATTATCTATTGAACTTAATGACACTTCCATGTTAAGGATGATATGTTCTGGCTTTAGTTTGCTAACTGTCACATTATTATTCAATCCTTTTCCAAGTAGTTTTATCTCAATGGAGCTTAATTCTCTCGATAACCCACTTATCAGTAGAAGATGAAATATTGTTGTCAACTTCTTCGTTTATTGTGCTGTTTTTTCCTTCTAATAATTTGTTCGATTTCTTAATTTGTATGATTATTGATTTCTTTAAGGTTGCTTCTCTAGCTATATTGGATGTTTCAATCACAATTTCATAATCTTCGGGAACCAATTGGCTGCCGTAATTTCTATCCATCACAACCATCGTATTTTGTGTTTTAGATTTGTTTGAACCATTCAATAGTGTCCTGGTATTTGAAAAATTAATGATATATATTTTTTAATTGACTTTGAAACTACCGGTTCACATGTCCTGGATGCTGAGATAATATTGTAGTGAGAGCCTTCTGCAAGACTAAATTGTAGACAACGATTTACGTCAATGTTTATGTCCCGAATTGGGGTCATGAGAAAAAAATAGGAACAAAGCCCAACCTTGAGTAACTTAACAATCAATCACAGCAGCCTTGGCTTGTGTAAATACGATTCGCAGATATATGGATAACTTTGTAAGCAATGGTCACAAGCAGCACAGAATAACCTTCATCAAGAAGACAACCAATCAGAAGACGCTGCTTCTCTGCTAAAATAACGAATAATAATGTACATAAAAATCTATAGATACCTTATAATTTTCTCAAAAAAAGATCTGTTGCCTGGCCCCTGTCTTCCGTTGTTACAATATATCTTATAACATTACTATATGCTTCAGATGGAATAGCACTGCGTCAAAATATACAATGTAAATTCATATTTTGCTTTGTAGATGCTTTATGGTGAGAAAAGCTTACGTAAAAAGTACTCTGAGAGTTCCTTTTTGTTCGAAATAAAGCTATGATTATTATTGACTACTAAAAGCATTCCGGAGACTGCTTTAGTCTAAGGGTTGCCTTATTGACTGTGTAAAATAACAATTATTTGGGCAGACTTGTGTTCAGGTCATCTATGTTTGCTGGCTTAACCATGTCAATACAAACTTTTTGTGGATACCGTCCAAGTTGAATTTTGATTACTTCAATGACACATTTGTTAATTTATATATTATTTGTTGCCCTGGCTGAAGAATTTGAATGACTGTAGTATTTAACTCATATATATATATATATATATATATATTGGTGAATCCCTTTGCTTTGTGTCTGTGTGGCAAATTAATTTTATTGTGGTTTGCCAGTTTCTGTCGACCTAATACGTATAAGATTACATAAATTTATTGATTAAATTTATTAAATTATCAACAATTCTAAAATTAATGAAAAAGAGATAAGGAGAACAAGGAATATTGAACTGAGTAAATGAAAGAGCATTTAAACGATGTTACAATCAACCCGACAAATTATTGTCACATATTTGAAACGATATGATTACAACTAGAAGATAACTGAGAATTTCATTTGAAGGCTGCTGGTGAAAGGATACAGGCGAAGCAGAAACAGATGAAGAGAAGAAAATCATTAAGAATTTGAGATATAAAGAGTAAGTGATGAAAAAGAGCGCAAGAATAGGTAAAAAAGAGCATTTCAGAAGCAAGATATGCCCGAAGGAAGTAAAAGCAAATGCATACTAGTTTTTTCGTTTTAGTAGTTGCGAAGAGCTATATGATGTGCATGGGAATACGTCTCCAAATAAAATCAAAGTAAGTAATATGAATAATTACTGACGGTGAGGGAAAATTTCCATAAGCGAAAACTAAAGCTTATTTCGTTTTCAGTGGATAATCTTACTAAATACTATCTGTATGAAGTTGGACAAAATAAATAGTGCAAAGACAGTTAGAATTTAAGGACAAACGACAGCGACTGACTACGAAAAAGCGAAAATAACAAATAAACACAATGAAGAGCATGATTTTGTCCATCGATGTTTATGCTGCGTGACCTGTGAAGCAGGTCAATAAAAGTGTTATTAGAGCAAGAAAATAATTTAAAGTAGGATAGTAGTAATCTCAGTATGTCGGCTTCAATGAATAGTGAATTGCCTGTGTGTGGATAGTTCAATAAATAGGTGGTTGCAATTTCCGTTTTTTTGACGGAAAATATTTCTTCATCATAATCGTTGTATTAAAAGTAGATTAACTTTTTAGGCAAAATTGTAATAGCTTCCTGGAAGTTGGAAAACTGTACGAAACAGACAAGAGAAGGGGGTAATTTAATAGTCCATTTATTTCAGTCGACTTTTGTGAACAAAAAAGTTTTATGATATGAAGTTATGACGCATTATCATTTGTGTGCGTGTAGCAGCATGTGTAAAATGGTTGTCGATTAATAATTTGTCAAGTGCATACCTTAGAAAAAACCTTCTAATCAACATTTGTGTTAATTTGGAAGAAAGTTAACTGGCTTATTATATCCGGTAATATCTGCATTATTAGTTTCAGGGCATTACTTAAATCTCCACTGAAACTGATGAAAATAATCGAAAAGAATATGAAATTCACACACCGAAAGAGAATCGAATTCCACTTTGGAGACGAAATACAATTATGATAGATTAGTATTATTATTATTACATATTATTGGACAGTGGTGTATCGAAGATTTTGATGTTAGTTTTGTTCCACTATTTTTAGTCATCGTAGCGTCAGCACATTGAAGATATTGAAGAGTATGGAATATACACATTTTTGAAACACAAAGAATTGCACAGGAATCAGGATCTCTTAGATTGCTATAGATAGTTGAGTGGAAGAAAACAAAGGCAAAATATAAATTAGCAAGGAGGACAATTTTTAGTGGTGTTCAGATGATAGCAAAAATAACATTCACACTATTTGAAGGTGAAACTAATCATCTTATCTAAGTGGATGTTTTTCCATTCTTAGCAACTGGATTGAAATTAACTCAAAGCTTAGATGACTCTGTGGTCTACACTTTCTTGGATCCTAAGCCATTTCTTTTACTTTATGACCTATGGGATAGAGATGATAAATTTGTTATCACTTATAATGGAACTTATATTCTCCTTAACAAAATGTATGTCATAACAACTACAAATTGATAAGTACCACTCATCAACAGAACTGCACACATCTTATTATACAAAAAATCACTATTCTGTAAACTGAAGTGATTCAAATTAAATACTAATTTCTTTGAAATAAAGTACATTGCAATACTTCGCGAAATAAGACGGAACTTTCATTGGATCTGAATAGTTAAAACTGTTTTCTTCCTGAATAAACGATCATTCAACGTGATGGTTACATTTAATAATAAGTTGTTGACTGGCTGAACACAAAAAAGTAATATTCTACCTATATTAAAATTTTTTCGCCTCCATTAGGTTTTCTCACCTCAAATATTCTTTCTTTCTAACAATGTTTTTTCTTAATTTCATGGTAATATTTAAAAGATCATCAAGAATTGAGACAAGAGACACCTTTTTATGGAATCATAATATTCAGACTAATTCGGATAGCCTTGGATCGAACACTATAATTAATGTCATGGGTGTTGGTAGCAAAGAGGAGTTTATGCTTTCTTTCATGTACAACAACGGCTTAGTGGGTTAGTTTACTTTGAGATTAAAGCGTCTACAGTTATCATAAGCTATTAGTACTAGTTATTTTCACTTAGTGTGCTTCATACCAGTAAGCACGCAGGAGCAGAGGCTAACAAGCACATGTAAACAAGTGGTGTATTAGCTAACAATAAATGGAACAGAAGTATTTTCCAGTTTCTTGTTTGCTTCTCCATCAATATCAATAATTCTTGTTTGTTTGTTTTTCTTGAACATCATGATAAGGCACAAGGGCTGGCTCTAACACCTAATAATAGGTTGGAAATCCAATGAACTGTGCTCAAAATGTCATCAATAAATAATGCTGTATCGGTGTGTGTGCGTCTTCCACCACTGTGCTCGAATTCTATTTTTAAAGTTCAATAAAACAACACTGTTAGATATAAACTCACATGTAAGAATATAATTGGGATTTAATGAACGAAATATTCCCATATTGAGTCAAACGAAAAAGAAGTAAACAGTGAATAATATATTCTTTTCGACGATTCATTTTCATAAGCTGTACAATCGTAATTATTTTTAACAAAGAATTCATAAAACTAATACGTGTGGAGCAAACTATATCGGCCGTACGCAACGTAAAGTCCGTAAACGCATTCTGGATAACTGTTTCGTTTGGTAAGCCAGAGAAGGAAAGACGAATAGTAGCAACTCCGTCCTCGAACACACACTGTCAACTCTGGATATTGAGCAACTGCTCATGAATACTTCACAGAGCTACACAGAGTTCCTCAATATTGTACGGAAAGAATTCGAATACGCCATCTATACATACCTAAAATGACTGGCTGTGAGGGATATGAAACCGGACCTTTGCATTCAAAAGAACTATTTGCATTCACTTGCCCTCCCGTTGCCAGAGTAACACCCTTACTACAATTTTGCTTCGTTTTATTTTGTGAGTTTACTATTATTATTTCTATTTTTTTACCATTATTATTCTCATCATCCTTATTTTGTTATCACTCCATTACTATCTATAGTAACATTGCATTTTCGTACAGATTTTGTAAGAACACTTTATCGTCCTCCCACTAGTTCTTGTCCACTATACACAATTACAGTGATTAATCATTTTATCACACTTATTACGTCATTTCAACTTGTGCTCCTTTTCTTACTTAGAATTAGTCACCTTACATTACGTAATACATTTTGGGGGACACATTTTATCTGATTGGTCTAATGAATTCTTTGTTAAATATAAAGCTTATAAAAATGAATTGTCGTAAAGAAAATTTCCTTCTCTGTTACAATCTTTTTCTTATAATTGGGATTTGTGGAACAGTGCAACCTGATGTTTTAACCAAAAATCAGATTTTACGCAGAACACACGAGAAGACGTTATCTAGAGTTATTATTCTGAGTGTCCGTAGTTAAGTTTACCATAATGAGTATTGAGAAAAGAAAATTCAACAAGCATGTGAAGACAGGAAAATTTTTTCGTTCAAAAGAAGTTAAACTGATGAGACAATATTTTTATAATGATAAAGTGAAGTGAAGGCAATATAAGAAGTCAATGTGATTATGAGCAATAAATTGTGCTCGAAACGTCATCAGTAAATATTACTGCATAACACTGTGAGACTTTATCAAAATAAATTTTACGCATAATGGAAGTCAGTGTATGCTGAACAACTGTCAGCATTATCAAGTTTCTCTTTAATCCCAATCTAGACGTACTTCTCAGAATGGAATTCACGAAACTTGGATTCAAAAGTGTACTTAACAGTTGCATTACCCATCGGAATCTAAATGAGCCGTTAATACCAAATCGCGGTCGAAAACAGTGATAGCTCTGTACTTTAAGTATAGTACTCGGTTGTTGTAATAGGGATGAATTCTGATGAGAACCTGATGTAGCCATTCTCAGATAAAGAACTCTCGTTAACTGCAACTGTGTTCCTGAATCCACACGCTCTTGTGTTGGGAAGCACACAGAAACAACAGAGTAACGGTTGTCTGTGAAGATTAATGAGCCTATACCGAAGGCCCTACGTCTTGGAGGTTCACCTTAGTTTAACAATCTCACAGTTTGTTCCAGGCTGGTACAGAACACCAAATCAACATATCAGAATCTTTTGAGATGACGAACAAACAAAATCTTCACGACTATTATTTATTTTTAATATGGTTCTGATTTTACCGTTGATTGATTGGACTGAAATGTTCGACCTTTGTTGATATGTCGGCCCCTCATGTGTTTGGGACGATTGGTACTGGGTTTTAACCTCAGTAGGAACACGATCACTCACTGGAGAATTCAGGTACATTCAGCTTTTGAGTCACAAGCAGGACTAAATGAGCATCCTGGATTCCATTGCTGGTCACCATCTACCGAATTTCTGAGGATGTCGCAGTTCGAAGAGTGAAGTCTGAACTATGTGTTCATGAAGAGATTGCTACTAACTTATTGCGACCTCAGTGAACACTAACTCTTTCATCTTAACTCACTTAAATTTAATTTTATATATGTGACGTGACTTCAAATTTTACATTCATCTATTTTCCTACTGATTCTATGAATACCTGTGTGATGTTTTACGTCTTTCATTTTTTTTGAATAATTCTTCACATGATTACGTGAACTACCCTTTAATTCCAGATCACTCTACTCTTTTTAATGTGTCTATTTTGATTATATTTGATTATCTCAATTTCTTGAGTATTTTGTACTTAGTCTCCATTTTTGGCATGTTATTTTACTCTTACAAAGTGAACTACCTATTCACTTAAAGAATGTCTTAATTATCACATTGTTTGCTTAAGTATTTTATCATTCAGGCTTAATGCAGCTGATGGTAATCCTAAGAAATAAAACAGATTCATTTTATCTCGAAAAAGCTGTATCAATTGCCATACTTAATGTTGTGAGATAAGTTAAACAGACGTTTAATCCTGTAACCTCTTAACGTATCTGTTACAACGATATCATATGCAAAATACATTATTGTGAGAAGGCTTCATTTAATGCTTTTATTTTTATGATATTGCTTTCAGTGAATGTAGTATTGTTAAGATAGATGATGACACTTTCTCAATGAAACGCCTCATCAATCCTGTTGACTAGGCTACGATAAGACATGTTACCAAGTCAAAACATAGGGTTGTAATAAGTGTTTAAGAATTTGGACACCTTTGATTAGTGTATGAAAATGTCTGACTGAAAGTAAACGGCATGTAGCTAGGTTATTCAAATGCATTAAAATGTGTCTAAATACTAGTTTGTTCACTATCCTATGTCTTGTAAATGACTTGGCAACTTGCTTTTTTCTATTAGTCATTATTTTTGTGTAAACCTCCCTCACTTAGGTCCAACCACATGCATTTCCTATCCTACCCATTTTTGTGTCTAAATACATACGATGTAAACATGAATTACATGTTTATAATGCTTGAAAGACACCGGATTTTAAGAAGAATCATATATACTTTAACAATAGCTATGGTCAAACCTGATGTCATCTGTGTTATTTACTTGGTTTAAGTAATGTGTAGGTAAAGTAGGCCCTATGGATGTGATTGACACATAAGATAGTAGCTTTTACCTATTATTTGGTGGTTCAGGTGGTTGAGACACTTAAAATAGATGCAGTTTCTACGTTATCTCGGAGATGAGTTGAACGAGCAGTTTCTGCTGTATACAGTGACTTATGTTTAATGTACAGTTTGTGGTATAATCTAAACATCTCGACTGATTCATGCTATATTTGTTATAAGTAATGAAAGTGTATGAATGAAAACAAGTCTTTACAGTGAAAACAGAGTTACGATAATAAGATGTTCGGCGAATATTTTTGTTTTGCTTACTCGCCAAGTTCAAAGTAATTTTGACTCTAGTTTTTTATCTTTTCATTTATCATGGAAATGTCGCAATTTTACGGGTTTTGAGTCACTTCTAAAATTGGAAAGTCACTATTTGATGGCATTTGTAAAGTACTTCATAGTGTCTGCAACTGAAAAATGCCATTTAATGTGTTTTGACCATGTGGTTAAACGATGTTATTTGTCACAAAATCGGAAGATTCTAGGTATTTCTGATAAATAAAGCAGAGGTTTACATTACTGAGAAACCATTTATCAAACTGAAAGAACTGCTTGATACCTTAACCTTATATTTTATTTTAAATCTTATATTCTTAGGATTTACAAAGAATTTGTGATTAACATCTTTAGAATGATTCCCTTGAGTCACAAGTTGTTTCAATACTCTCCTCATTACGAGGACCGTTTTATCTATTCCTGACCTAACCAAATGGTTCCTTTACAAGTAACTACTTTAAAGTAAAGCGAGTATGCACTTAGAATGTATACAGGCTGTGATAAACCATAACATGCAAAAGTGTAAACGTGCTCCCCATACTGAAATCACTCCAGGCAAATGCATGCTTAGCCCGTATCCATTCATACAATATGTACATTCAGTTTTCCCTCATGAAAATAACAAGAATCAACGATAAAGGGAAACATTATAGATAAAATTGGGTAAATAACTTTAACGATGATAATATTAATTTGAAAATGAATACCTTATGTCTTCATCACACTTGAGGAATGATAGGTCTTTGAGAATTGAACATTAATGTCTTCCAGAATGATCAGTCCACTTTATGAAATTAGAGATGAAGTTTCGCCTTGTAAACTCCAGCGTATCCCTAAAAGATTTGTGTGTGTATTTGCCTGTATGTGTATATTTGTGTTAATGTAGTATACTGATAAAAGGAAACAAAGTTCAGGAATTTCTATGTTTTTTTTAAGAAACTACGATGAGCTCTTAGTAGTTGATGAATGAGAGTAACATCTGAATAATAATGAGTTTAGATGAGAAAAAGCGTGTACCACAATAATCTTGGTAAGAGTAATAGATAACGGATATCAGGTAGGAAAATAAATACCTCACGAATCTAATTTCAAAAGATGAAATGCAAATAGCAAATTTTGGAATGTTTCACGTTGACACAAAGTGAAAAAGAGATACAGCCACATTCAAATGTATGTGTTTGCATAAATTAGCATTAAAAGCTTCCTAACACATAATTGATTTTCATATTTCATTCCTTTTTGAATAAGGTAGTCTGTTCTGAGTCACCTTTCGCATCCTTTATATCTATTATTACATATTCTGAATCTGTGGGAGCTTCATTTGCTGGTGATCCCGTCAATTCTTCATTCAGGAGCTTTGCATCCACCTGAGATTTTTCTGAATTTACACCCTCTTTTGCTCCTTGTTCTTGAGTAACCCTTGAAACGTTTTCTTTTATGGTGTTGTCTTGTTGAAGAAGGCTGCTCAGTGGTTGTCTTTGTATATCATAGACGCTTTTATTTTCTACAACGACTTCACCTTCAGAGATATCAAATATGTTTGGTTCATGATTCGAAGCCATCTTAGAGTCATTGACTGATGATGGAGAATATGCCTTAGATGTGCTAGGTGCCCTGACTTCACCTGCAACCGAAGAATGTTCAGCTTCAGAGGTTATTATTACTGGTGAAGACAAATTTGCTTTAGGTTCGTGGACTAATAGGTTAGGTGTTAAATCATATCTACTTTGTGTTGGATGTGAAGACACTTCGAAAATGCCGACTGCAGGTGGTACTGAATATAAAGTTGGAGAAATTGTGACATTTATTAGGTCCATTGCTGCATTGCTATCATCTAGTGAATCAGTCATTATATTTGCAGAAGCGAGCACATTAAGCAATTCATCGTTCATAACTCGGGACACTGATTCACTTGAATCTTTTTGCCCAATAGGGCGTGTTGACTGAGGTAGTTCTAAGGGAGTTGTTGAACTCACATTTTCAGCAAGAGATGTTTCATCTAAAGGTAGATTACAAAAATCTTTTTCGTCAATGGTTTCGAAATATTGTTGATGTAAGATATCAATATGTGCAGAGTCAAACTCAGTTATACCTTGATCATCATTTTCTGATTGCTCTATTCCATTTTTCCTCATCTGGTTTGAAATAGCTGATGATGATGTGGTACAGAGGGAATCTGTCACTTTATTAACTTGTCCATGTTCACTCTCTTCTAAAGAGTCTCTTCCACGTAATAACGGATCTCTCCAATTATAATGTGTTCCAACCATCGCATTTGTTCCTTCAAAAATACTGTTCTCATAACCGGAAGGTATTAACGAATCGTAGATTGAAGAATAAATTAATGAGTCGGCTTCTAGCAATCCACTCATTTGGTCGTCGGCTCTGTCTATCAAAATTTCAATTTCTGAACTAGAAGTTAAACTTTCAGCAATTTGCTCAACGTCCAAAGGATCACTGGACATTGTTGAATGAATAACTGAAACTATGGAATCAGAACATATTGTGTGTGATTTGTTTTCATCTTTTTGATATAAGTTCATAAATAAAGTCTGATTATCCTCTTTGGTTGAATAATGTGAAGTTGTGGGTGATTCTATACTTTGTGATAGTGAACTTGTGTGGTTTTCTGCAACATCTTCATAAATGGTTGATATCTGTCCATAGCTTGGAGCTATTAAACTTGGAGCTATTAACACTTCTGCTTTCACTTTAGTGTTTACATCCATCATTTCATTTAATCTTGACTTAATTATTGAATCTGATGGTAATACGAAGTTATCTTCACAATTCTCACATTCCTTTTCATGTCTCAGATACTCAGAAAGTGAGGATGTATGAGAACTGATATCTTCACCACTTCCTTTATGACCACTACTAGGAGAGGTAGAATCGCTTGTACCTAATTCCTTTTCTAACCGTTCAAATTCGGACAATGAACTGCTGGTGATATTATCACTGCTTGTTTTTGATTTCTTTGTTTCATCAATAACCGGTGCTGAGAAATTAGACTGATCATTAGAAACATCTATATCTTTCAACTTAGATGAATCTTTGACTGTATATATTTGCTGTTCTTGAGAAAGTTGTGGAGAACTGGTTGCATGTTCTTCTATGGATCTATGGAACTCATTTTGCGCAGCACTTATTTTTTTTCCAGCTGTATAAATAGGTTGTGATACTGAAATGCTATTAAAATTTGTAGATGTTTTCGAATCCTCCTTTCTAATCAAAGATTCCGACCCTAAAAGGTTGGATAAGGAGTTAACTGATCTTTTTTTAAGGGTACTAGGTGAGTAATCTAATGTTGTATTATCACATGACAATTTTGTTTCGTTATTGACGAGGTTGAGGTCACTTTCAATAGAAGCTAAGGTAGTTCTGGATTCAAGCAGTTGTGTATTGTCAAATTCGTATGCATCTAAATTCTCTTTTTCCCGTTGGTCACTTGTTTCCTCTCTTTTTCCTAAAAAAGGCGAAATTACTGGTGATGTTTCCAGCATACCAATATTAACGACTGTAGATTGGCTGTCCTTACTTGATTCATCTGGAGTTGAACTTGCCTGTAAATCTTGTTCAGAAGTGAATAGTATATTACTTATAGAACTAATGGAGCGACAGGATCCCGTAAAATCAGGAATTGCGTATTGGTGTCTAAGTACTTCTTTTTTCGAGGGATGGTCCTGCTGATCTTCTAAGTCAGCTTTTAATTCCTTGTCAAATTTGAAGAACTGATCTCCGATGACTGTTTCAGGTATTGGAGATAGCCCAGTACGTTCGCATTTAGGTTCATCAGTGTGAATTTTACTTGCATCGTCACCTGCACTATCTAGTTCGAATGGAATACAGAAGCCTTCAAGACTGTCACCATCAAAGTCATCAAGTTCATCATGGTCAAACTCTTTCATCTTATGTACTTCGGTGTTTGTTACAGAAGTACTCGGATAATCATTTTGTATCTGAGAGAGAACTTTCACACTTTCTTCACTACTTTCTTTATATGGAGGTCGTATTTTAGTTTCAGACGAATGCCAATTAAGTTGGTTACTGTAAAAACTTGTAGGCGAAATGCTTCCTCGAAATCCATACGTTTGCAGACGATTAAGCACCCTAACAGATCTGTCTAAGGCAGAGTGAACTAGCTGACTAGCATCACCATGTTTAGGCACTTTTACTGTGGAAGCATGTGCTTCAGGCGATTCCACATCTTCTTCTTCTTCTCCTTCTTCTTCTTCTGTAAACTCTACAGCTACATTAGCACCCGAGGCAGCAGCAAGATATGTTAAATCAGACTTTCTAGAAGAAGCAGATTTTTCTAAACTATCAATTTCTAAGTTCATTACAGTTTCAGCAGAATCACGAGGAAACCTTGAGCCACACTCCTCAGTAACAGTAGGAGAAATTTCATCATAAACAGCAGTTTCTTTAGATATTGGTTCACCAGACCTAACTTTAAATTTCTCATCACAATAATCAGATAAGCGGAAACATGCACCAGATGAAAAGTCTTTCGGCTTCTTTGGAGTAGAGCCATCAAAATACTTGGTCATTTCATTGTTAGATAATGACAAATGTTCCTCGGAAAAGGACTCCGCTGGCAATGTTGCATTTGCGGTTAGTATGGGTGGAACTATGTTTGATGTCCCAAGTTCATCAGGCGAAATACGTTCATATCCAGTAACACCAAGAACAGATGCTTCTGGTAGGAACATAGAAGAAGTCTCAAAAAATATCTCCTTCACCATAGAAACATCAGGTTTAACATCAGAAGGAGAATCATCCCGATTATTTGAAATATCAAGATTTTCAGGAATTCCAGAGGATTCATTGGAATAAAAAGCACCTTCACTACACACATCCGGCAAATCCAAAACACATTCATTTTCAGGTTTCAAGTAACTACTAAGTCCCAGAAGCAAACCGAAAGGGGGACTAGAAGAATCATTCAAATCTAAAGATGGAGCAGAATGCAAATCAAACTTCGAAAACTCAGACAAACCGTTATGAACAGATGTAAAAGATGATGTAGGAGAACAAACATCAAAATCAACAAAAGTGGACATAATTTCACGCGAATCCGATAGAGAAGAACAATCAACAAAAGAAGACGGCAACGCTTGAGTAATAAAAACATCATCAACACAATTTTCGGAAACAAAATAAGAAGGTTCAGCAATGATATCAAAAGTTGAAGAAGAACAAAACAATTCATCAACGGTGGGAACAGAGGAATTCAAACATGATTCAGAATAAACGGGAAGTGAACACTGAGAAGGAACGACAGAGACTGAGGCGAAACAGTAATTCAAGCAAGCGAGAGATTCGCAGGAAGACAAACAAAATTCACCAACTAATTCAGCATATTCCGTCTCCATCTCACTCACACGCTCAGCCAATCGCTCAGATTCGCCTTCCCCTGCAGTCTCTGAAAGCGCCTCAGACTCGAATCCCACTGGCGCGATGACAGACACACCTTCCCACTCAACCTGTGCTGCCGCTTCACTTTCTGCTTCCCATTCAACTTGCCCCAATGATTCACCTGACACTTGCACAGCCGACTCAGCTTCCACTTCCACTTCCACTTCCGCTGACGATGCTGCTGCCGCTGCCACTTCCGCCTCCGCTGCCGCCTCCGCTTCCCTCTCATCAACTACGCCTTCACCAACTAATTCAGCATATTCCGTCTCCATCTCACTCACACGCTCAGCCAATCGCTCAGATTCGCCTTCCCCTGCAGTCTCTGAAAGCGCCTCAGACTCGAATCCCACTGGCGCGATGACAGACACACCTTCCCACTCAACCTGTGCTGCCGCTTCACTTTCTGCTTCCCATTCAACTTGCCCCAATGATTCACCTGACACTTGCACAGCCGACTCAGCTTCCACTTCCACTTCCACTTCCGCTGACGATGCTGCTGCCGCTGCCACTTCCGCCTCCGCTGCCGCCTCCGCTTCCCTCTCATCAACTACGCCTTCACCAACTAATTCAGCATATTCCGTCTCCATCTCACTCACACGCTCAGCCAATCGCTCAGATTCGCCTTCCCCTGCAGTCTCTGAAAGCGCCTCAGACTCGAATCCCACTGGCGCGATGACAGACACACCTTCCCACTCAACCTGTGCTGCCGCTTCACTTTCTGCTTCCCATTCAACTTGCCCCAATGATTCACCTGACACTTGCACAGCCGACTCAGCTTCCACTTCCACTTCCACTTCCGCTGACGATGCTGCTGCCGCTGCCACTTCCGCCTCCGCTGCCGCCTCCGCTTCCCTCTCATCAACTACGCCTTCACCAACTAATTCAGCATATTCCGTCTCCATCTCACTCACACGCTCAGCCAATCGCTCAGATTCGCCTTCCCCTGCAGTCTCTGAAAGCGCCTCAGACTCGAATCCCACTGGCGCGATGACAGACACACCTTCCCACTCAACCTGTGCTGCCGCTTCACTTTCTGCTTCCCATTCAACTTGCCCCAATGATTCACCTGACACTTGCACAGCCGACTCAGCTTCCACTTCCACTTCCACTTCCGCTGACGATGCTGCTGCCGCTGCCACTTCCGCCTCCGCTGCCGCCTCCGCTTCCCTCTCATCAACTACGCCTTCACCAACTAATTCAGCATATTCCGTCTCCATCTCACTCACACGCTCAGCCAATCGCTCAGATTCGCCTTCCCCTGCAGTCTCTGAAAGCGCCTCAGACTCGAATCCCACTGGCGCGATGACAGACACACCTTCCCACTCAACCTGTGCTGCCGCTTCACTTTCTGCTTCCCATTCAACTTGCCCCAATGATTCACCTGACACTTGCACAGCCGACTCAGCTTCCACTTCCACTTCCACTTCCGCTGACGATGCTGCTGCCGCTGCCACTTCCGCCTCCGCTGCCGCCTCCGCTTCCCTCTCATCAACTACGCCTTCACCAACTAATTCAGCATATTCCGTCTCCATCTCACTCACACGCTCAGCCAATCGCTCAGATTCGCCTTCCCCTGCAGTCTCTGAAAGCGCCTCAGACTCGAATCCCACTGGCGCGATGACAGACACACCTTCCCACTCAACCTGTGCTGCCGCTTCACTTTCTGCTTCCCATTCAACTTGCCCCAATGATTCACCTGACACTTGCACAGCCGACTCAGCTTCCACTTCCACTTCCACTTCCGCTGACGATGCTGCTGCCGCTGCCACTTCCGCCTCCGCTGCCGCCTCCGCTTCCCTCTCATCAACTACGCCTTCACCAACTAATTCAGCATATTCCGTCTCCATCTCACTCACACGCTCAGCCAATCGCTCAGATTCGCCTTCCCCTGCAGTCTCTGAAAGCGCCTCAGACTCGAATCCCACTGGCGCGATGACAGACACACCTTCCCACTCAACCTGTGCTGCCGCTTCACTTTCTGCTTCCCATTCAACTTGCCCCAATGATTCACCTGACACTTGCACAGCCGACTCAGCTTCCACTTCCACTTCCACTTCCGCTGACGATGCTGCTGCCGCTGCCACTTCCGCCTCCGCTGCCGCCTCCGCTTCCCTCTCATCAACTACGCCTTCACCAACTAATTCAGCATATTCCGTCTCCATCTCACTCACACGCTCAGCCAATCGCTCAGATTCGCCTTCCCCTGCAGTCTCTGAAAGCGCCTCAGACTCGAATCCCACTGGCGCGATGACAGACACACCTTCCCACTCAACCTGTGCTGCCGCTTCACTTTCTGCTTCCCATTCAACTTGCCCCAATGATTCACCTGACACTTGCACAGCCGACTCAGCTTCCACTTCCACTTCCACTTCCGCTGACGATGCTGCTGCCGCTGCCACTTCCGCCTCCGCTGCCGCCTCCGCTTCCCTCTCATCAACTACGCCTTCACCAACTAATTCAGCATATTCCGTCTCCATCTCACTCACACGCTCAGCCAATCGCTCAGATTCGCCTTCCCCTGCAGTCTCTGAAAGCGCCTCAGACTCGAATCCCACTGGCGCGATGACAGACACACCTTCCCACTCAACCTGTGCTGCCGCTTCACTTTCTGCTTCCCATTCAACTTGCCCCAATGATTCACCTGACACTTGCACAGCCGACTCAGCTTCCACTTCCACTTCCACTTCCGCTGACGATGCTGCTGCCGCTGCCACTTCCGCCTCCGCTGCCGCCTCCGCTTCCCTCTCATCAACTACGCCTTCACCAACTAATTCAGCATATTCCGTCTCCATCTCACTCACACGCTCAGCCAATCGCTCAGATTCGCCTTCCCCTGCAGTCTCTGAAAGCGCCTCAGACTCGAATCCCACTGGCGCGATGACAGACACACCTTCCCACTCAACCTGTGCTGCCGCTTCACTTTCTGCTTCCCATTCAACTTGCCCCAATGATTCACCTGACACTTGCACAGCCGACTCAGCTTCCACTTCCACTTCCACTTCCGCTGACGATGCTGCTGCCGCTGCCACTTCCGCCTCCGCTGCCGCCTCCGCTTCCCTCTCATCAACTACGCCTTCACCAACTAATTCAGCATATTCCGTCTCCATCTCACTCACACGCTCAGCCAATCGCTCAGATTCGCCTTCCCCTGCAGTCTCTGAAAGCGCCTCAGACTCGAATCCCACTGGCGCGATGACAGACACACCTTCCCACTCAACCTGTGCTGCCGCTTCACTTTCTGCTTCCCATTCAACTTGCCCCAATGATTCACCTGACACTTGCACAGCCGACTCAGCTTCCACTTCCACTTCCACTTCCGCTGACGATGCTGCTGCCGCTGCCACTTCCGCCTCCGCTGCCGCCTCCGCTTCCCTCTCATCAACTACGCCTTCACCAACTAATTCAGCATATTCCGTCTCCATCTCACTCACACGCTCAGCCAATCGCTCAGATTCGCCTTCCCCTGCAGTCTCTGAAAGCGCCTCAGACTCGAATCCCACTGGCGCGATGACAGACACACCTTCCCACTCAACCTGTGCTGCCGCTTCACTTTCTGCTTCCCATTCAACTTGCCCCAATGATTCACCTGACACTTGCACAGCCGACTCAGCTTCCACTTCCACTTCCACTTCCGCTGACGATGCTGCTGCCGCTGCCACTTCCGCCTCCGCTGCCGCCTCCGCTTCCCTCTCATCAACTACGCCTTCACCAACTAATTCAGCATATTCCGTCTCCATCTCACTCACACGCTCAGCCAATCGCTCAGATTCGCCTTCCCCTGCAGTCTCTGAAAGCGCCTCAGACTCGAATCCCACTGGCGCGATGACAGACACACCTTCCCACTCAACCTGTGCTGCCGCTTCACTTTCTGCTTCCCATTCAACTTGCCCCAATGATTCACCTGACACTTGCACAGCCGACTCAGCTTCCACTTCCACTTCCACTTCCGCTGACGATGCTGCTGCCGCTGCCACTTCCGCCTCCGCTGCCGCCTCCGCTTCCCTCTCATCAACTACGCCTTCACCAACTAATTCAGCATATTCCGTCTCCATCTCACTCACACGCTCAGCCAATCGCTCAGATTCGCCTTCCCCTGCAGTCTCTGAAAGCGCCTCAGACTCGAATCCCACTGGCGCGATGACAGACACACCTTCCCACTCAACCTGTGCTGCCGCTTCACTTTCTGCTTCCCATTCAACTTGCCCCAATGATTCACCTGACACTTGCACAGCCGACTCAGCTTCCACTTCCACTTCCACTTCCGCTGACGATGCTGCTGCCGCTGCCACTTCCGCCTCCGCTGCCGCCTCCGCTTCCCTCTCATCAACTACGCCTTCACCAACTAATTCAGCATATTCCGTCTCCATCTCACTCACACGCTCAGCCAATCGCTCAGATTCGCCTTCCCCTGCAGTCTCTGAAAGCGCCTCAGACTCGAATCCCACTGGCGCGATGACAGACACACCTTCCCACTCAACCTGTGCTGCCGCTTCACTTTCTGCTTCCCATTCAACTTGCCCCAATGATTCACCTGACACTTGCACAGCCGACTCAGCTTCCACTTCCACTTCCACTTCCGCTGACGATGCTGCTGCCGCTGCCACTTCCGCCTCCGCTGCCGCCTCCGCTTCCCTCTCATCAACTACGCCTTCACCAACTAATTCAGCATATTCCGTCTCCATCTCACTCACACGCTCAGCCAATCGCTCAGATTCGCCTTCCCCTGCAGTCTCTGAAAGCGCCTCAGACTCGAATCCCACTGGCGCGATGACAGACACACCTTCCCACTCAACCTGTGCTGCCGCTTCACTTTCTGCTTCCCATTCAACTTGCCCCAATGATTCACCTGACACTTGCACAGCCGACTCAGCTTCCACTTCCACTTCCACTTCCGCTGACGATGCTGCTGCCGCTGCCACTTCCGCCTCCGCTGCCGCCTCCGCTTCCCTCTCATCAACTACGCCTTCACCAACTAATTCAGCATATTCCGTCTCCATCTCACTCACACGCTCAGCCAATCGCTCAGATTCGCCTTCCCCTGCAGTCTCTGAAAGCGCCTCAGACTCGAATCCCACTGGCGCGATGACAGACACACCTTCCCACTCAACCTGTGCTGCCGCTTCACTTTCTGCTTCCCATTCAACTTGCCCCAATGATTCACCTGACACTTGCACAGCCGACTCAGCTTCCACTTCCACTTCCACTTCCGC